ATATTTGTGTCTGAAAATTACATATAATTGATTGACATTGTTTTTTTAATAACTTTTTAATAAACAACGAGCGCCGGCTAAATCCTTCTGAGGGTTACTCAGGAGGGTGACCTCTATAATATATGTCAAGCCCAAGGTTATTGGAGGTGGGTGTGTTAATCTAAATAATTACCAAAATAAAAAAGCATACAACCACAAAGAAAAGAGGACCGCCAGTTGGCGGGGGTGGTGGAGGGCCTCTGGAGGTTGATCTGCTTTTACCAGTTGAAACATTAATTAAATGTTGCAATAAAAACTAATTTAACATAGCATATGTATGTATGCATATATAAATATCATATACAATAATATTATATACAATATATATAAGTATGTGTGTATATTGCAAATCTTTGATCAATTTTGATCAGTTATAAAGTTTACTTTTAGGAAGATGCATATAGAAATATACATATACCGTAACTTTTATAAGTTATAAATGAGGAAATTTAGCTAAAATGGATTGAGTCGCAATAATATTCGGTAAAAGCAGAACAGCCTTACGAACAGATAATTTTTCTTATTCACCTTCCTCGTGATCGTCAGATTGTCGTCAGATAAAATTAAATCGTACAGATCAGATGGGTGAAATCACTCCCTCGGATAAGCTGCAAGTAGGATTAGCTTTAGGTATAGAAGGGGTATCGGATGTGGTAAAAGTAGGATCATCCCTAGGTGTAGAATGGGCATAACAGAGCCGAGAAGCGATTACTTCGATCTTAGCTCAGAGAGCCGAGATGTGACTTATTCCATCTTAACTCAGAGAGCCGAGAAGCGACATATTCCATCTTAGCTCAGAGAGCCAAGAAGCGATTACTTCGATCTTAGCTCATAGAGCCGAGATGCGACATATTCTATCTTAGCTAACAGAGCCGAGAAGCGACATATTCTATCTTAGCTAACAGAGCCGAGAAGCGATTAATCGTTAATTTAATCGATACCAATAAGTCCGTAGAATGATACGCAAAACGTAGTAACAGTCACGGAACAAAGTAATGTAAAATATCAAGTTTAGAATTTTCAATTTCGTAGGCGGGACAACGAATTCTCAATGTTTTTGTTTTTGTTGTTTTTCACTCGGCGCGGTATCGTACGACGTTACGCGGGCCAATGTTTACCTTCAGGTGTACGCGCTCCCACTCGCTCGCCGAACGTCGAGCCGGCAGGCAGCAGCGAGAGTCGGTCCGTGCGTCGTATTACTTTTCCGTTATCGGTTTCCGAGACTCGATCGCGCTGAATGCAGGGATAAAACACTATTGATTTGCACACCTTTATCAGTAACAAGTAACGTTCCTCGATTAATTATTAAGTTTCTCCAACTTGTAATAAAAAACGAATTGTATGTCGAGGCGACGGCTCTTTATCAACGTACACGTAGATATTTCACGAGACTAATTCATCTAAAATATGAATGTAAACTGTGATACTTTGTCGCGGTTAAGGCCTTCACACATAAAATTCCGTAAGGACGTAAAACGTAAGCATAAGAAAATCGACCAATCACAGTCGAGAACGTAAGGCAATGACGCAAGCAGTAGCAAATCCAACCTGTTGATTTTCTTACGCTTACGTTTTACGTCCTTACGGAATTTTATGTGTGAAGGCCTTTACATCTCGTTTACGCACCGCGCTTTTAATTATCTATCGATTTCGTGTAATCTGTTCCATTTTCGGGAAAAGAGAGAAATTTGTACGACTCGGTGAATTAATAATTCACCCAGTTTATATACTTTTTACGGAATATATAAGTGAAAATACATTGACTTTAGACATTGAATTTTTAATTCTTTTCAGACATTTGCATTTTGATTAACTACTAACTCAGTTGCGTTTATTGTACGCTGTCGATGTTAATATGTATAATTTTTGTGCGATGTTTTTGTACTTAACATCATGCGCATCACCCCTGGTCCACAATCTTGCTTTAAGTAAGCTGTAAGCCTTAAGCCGTAAGAAATTAACCAATCACAGATATTTATTCCCCTCACTCTCACCTGCGATTGGTTAATTTCTTACGGCTTAAGGCTTACAGCTTACTTAAAGCAAGATCGTGGACCAGGGGTCATTCGTGAAACCGAACACACCCCATATATTATACGAGCGTTCATGCAATACGAACAGACCTATGATTACACGAGAAAGACTCGCTGCATGATCTTGGTCGCGTTCAGCAGAAAGAGCTACTTTGCAACTGTCGTAAAATTCGTGAATCCGATTGGCGTATGCTCTTAAATTCACTCAAGATTAAGAGAACACGCCAAATAGATTCGCGAATTTTACAACAGTTGCAAAGCAGCTTTCTCTGCCGAACGCAGCCATTGTCATTGCAGGATTGCAACATCGATGTTTGAAAGCTCGCAGCTGATTGGCCGCTGCTTTTTCGTTTGAACAGTGCCACCATGACGAGTTTAGTTAACGGACAGTTATGGCTACGCGGAGAGAAAGTTTGTCGGGCGTGATTATCCGTTTCGTGTTTCCGTCGATTACGGCTCGTCGTGAGGGCGAGTCCCGTGTCCGGGGTGCCGTGAATAAGTAGCGCGTTAGCAAGCTCGTTCGTGGCGTTCAAGCAGCCGCCGGGAGTAACGTGCCGGGAAATCTCGATCGTCGTGAGTGAGCCGTAGTCGCGAATCGGCCATTCCGCGGCTACTCGGAAGTTCGGTTGTCGCGTCTCGCGTGCCTCAAACCGCCGAAAAAGTCGAGAGTGCACCGCGAACGGGAGTGTCGAGTGTCGCGAGCGTGTGTCTCGAGAGTGAATTTCATCCGCCGCGAGTGTTAAGTCGCCGATGCGGCTTACAGAGTGGTGATACTGTGTGTGATATCGTATACAATGCGATATATATGTGATAGTGCATATTCTATTGTTAAGTGTTAAGTGAGTGTGACCAATTGGGATTACTTCGCGGGAGCAACTCAACATCCGATCCAACGAGGGACCACATGATGCAACCTGATGGAGGTACGTCATCTCGGCGACGCTAGAACAATGAACGATCGGTCATCGCGGGATCCGCCGCCGCAAGGTAACTGCTGCATGTTGCAATACCGACCGCGGGACTTACCTATTGCGAATAGTGGCGTATAACTCACTCGACCGGCGATAGATGGTGGCGGCGTACCCTCCTCACGTCGGTAATTAATTCTTTACCCGCACTTTAGGAAACTTCGATAGCATTTGTGCCAGGGCATATTTAACTTGTGTCTCAACTGCGGAACTCGAAAATTTTTAATTTTCGGGATTTGTGATCTCTTTGCGACAACCGTAGAGGTAATGCATCTCGTCGTCGAGAATGAGTTTAGCGTATCGGGTTAGGGTTAGGTTGGTTAGATTTCGTACTAGAAACACGAGACTTGGCTAGATTTCGTTAAAGTCGCGCTGCATCGTAATAATAATGACGTTCTATCGAATTAAAACTTGCGAGACCTATACCCGTTTCTACCAACGCAGTTTAACTTTAATCTCGGTTCAACTTGCTTTGTATCTTTCTCTAGTTTTATGAATTGGAAAAGCACAAGAAGTAATTTAAGCTGAGATTAAAGTTAATCTGCATTGGTAGAAACGGGCACTAGTCAGATTTAATACTGGGGCATAGGATATCGCGTTTAAACTCGGGATTTTTACGTTTCGGGACTTAGAATTTTTACGCGCCTTCTTAAAGTCGCGCTGCAGCGTCGTCACGAATGACACTCTATCGACTTAAAAACTACAAGGCGTCGTCAGAATAAATATGTGGACATAGGATATCGCGTTTAAACTCGGGATTTTTACGTTTCGGGACTTAGAATTTTTACGCGCCTACTTGAAAGTCGCGCTGCAGCGTCGTCACGAATGACACTCTATCGACTTAAAAACTACAAGGCGTCGTCAGAATAAATATGTGGACATAAGGAATNTCGCGGTTTAAACTCGGGGAATTTTTTACGTTTACCGGGGAGTCTTA